CCCCCAAAACCCCAAAACCCCAAAACCCCATAAAGGCAAATCAAGATTGATATACTAAGATTAATAAAAATAAAGCATCTATAGATTCAATTATGGAAGGTTCAGGTTTTACCAATCCTCAGAATTCTACCTTCAGACATCAAGCCATGCCATGTCTGCTTGGTGAAACAAGCCAACTTGCTCTGCCTCATGTTAGAAATACTTTGGAACCAAAAGAGACTCTCAATCAGCTAAATTATGAAGCCAACAAAGGTAATATTTGGGCAAAAAATTCTGACGGATTTGATAAGCATCAGCATAAGACAATTTGGCTCATTCCAAATTACTTGAGCAAATCTGATTTATTGCTCACTTATTTATATTATGCTCATTTTTTAAAATGCTAGCTCTAATACATAAAAACCACTCTCACTTTCAGTCAACCCACTCTTGTCACCAAGATGGCCTCAACCATGACAAGGCTAGAATAAACTGAAGAAATTTTCTTTGTATTATAAAACAACGAGCTCTATCAGAATTGAGGGACTTATTCCAACTGCATTGCCTTTTGTATCAATTAGGTTTAGATTATTAAGTTTCGCCACAATTAGGCATATTAATATTCCAGAATTATGACTGGAAGTTTCGGACATCTTGATCCATGATTTTAAGGAAAGATGTAACTTCAAATATAACTTTGGTAATTTCCGTAAATCGTTCAAATCCAATACTCCCTAAGGGTGGTACAGTATAACATTATGATTTCAGATGTTTCCTTGAGCTATCGTAAGCATGGAGTTGCTAGGTTAAATTACTCCCAAGCAACATGAGTGTTGAATATTATTAAAGGATCTTATCTTTCGTAAATTAGAACTTGAAATTTAAAAGAAATATGTTATTTGCCCTAAAATAATCCACCTCTCACTTTTCATTATGTAGTTTAAACAACCTTCCAGATTAGTAAAATTTTTAACTTTTTGTTCCATCATCAGGACTCTTTAATAACAGCCATATTGGATGAGAGAAATATTATTAAACCATCCCAAAAATTTTTTGATAGTGTTTTATTTAAGTAAACTAAAGAGCTCTTGATTAAAACGTTTGGGCTAGTTTCAGCAATAAATCAATATTTAAAACTTTATCGACGCGTTCCTCCCATGATATATTTTAAGTTCATCCGCATAGATTTCATATCTAATTTCGAGTCTCACCAAAGCCTCTGTAAATTGATTGCCAGAAACTAACTTTTGGTCTAGATCAACTCCAAGACAGAATCAGATGTCTGACTGAAGCTTATTGTCTTTGATCTTCAGAAGGTAAGGAAGACTAAATTTTAAATTTTCATTGAAATTTGAAAGTACTTTCGTTTACAAAAATTAATGAAGCTACTTTCTCTCTGGATGAGATAGCTAAACTTTTACAGCAGTATAGAAGCTGAATGAAATATTTAGCATGCTCTGTTATTTAATTGTACTATTAATGTCTCATTAAGATTTTAGTCAGAAAATTGCTATATAATGGGCCCATTCCTCCTCTCCAAATCAAAAATTTTGGACCTGTAAGTGGATGTTGGCAAAGAAGCCAAATTGTGCTCACTCTAATTCTGTGTTTAGGACGAAACCATAGAGAGATCCCTTCAATTTAATATTGAAGAAGAAAAGCAAATGCCAAGAGCAGGATTCATTTTAAGTGAATCGATGAAAACAAGGTATAAACTAAATTTGATTTATCATATATTGATATTTTTCGTATTTCAAATCTATTTGATAAAATTTTTGGGTCTGACAAGTTTAGAAACATCATTCAAAACCAAACCTCCCAAACCAACGTCGAGAACCTCCAAGCCCTCGAAGGTTATCCCTACTCCTCCGCTGTGCATCCCAACTCTAAGAACGGTAAAATGGTCATGGTCTACAAGTGCGAGTTCAATGAGTGCCACAAAACATTCATGAGGACCTGGAACTTGCTTGACCACATCAGGATGCATTACGGGATCAGACCCTATGTGTGCAAGTTCTGTGGCAAAGGCTTCACTCAGAAAGGCAACATGCGCAAGCACCTGATTCAGCATGAGAAGCCTCATCTGAGCAATCGCAAGAAGTTCAAGTGCGAGTTCTGCAGCAGCAGCTTCACCGAAAGGTACAACTACAGAGTAAGCTTGGTGAACAATGTGTATAGACTCATGTGGAGAAGAAACATGGAATCAGTCCATCAATTCCAAACCTAAACCATGAAAACCAGCTCCAATTCCCACCCAGGCCTATGAATTAAATTCAATCATAACTATTCTCCATAAATCTCTTCCTTCCCCAAACTATCCCTTCTTTCACCCCATCCATTGCTCTCCACAATATTCTTTAACTAAAACCTTCATAATTCCCAATTCCTTGGCAGTCTGCTAAACCTCCAAGTGCAGCTAAGCTCTAGCTTGCGTTTCCTAGTTGAAATTTGTGTGAAGGAAATTAGGTTGAAGAATTAGAGGGTTTTAGGGTGATGAAGTCTGGAAAGATGGCCAAATTTGATAAAATTGTTTTTGGCGAAATTTAAGATGTGACTTTAGTTCTGGAGATGAGATAAATTGGTTGGGAAATTGAGTTTTATTTAAATGAGTATTTGAAGTTTTCAGAAGGTTTGCAGAGCTTCTTCTAGTTCTTTCTTCTGGAAAGAAAACTCTTAGTTATTGAAATTAGATTTTGGTTAGGAGTTTTTTTTGGAGTTAGCTAATTAATATTGTCTTGAAACTGATGTTCCGCTGATAATATTATTTTCTATCATTAGCTTTATGAATTTTACCATTTTCTCTCACTTACTTGCTCTTTGCCTCTCATGAGCATATTTCAGGAATTCTGCAATAAACTTCTCCAAAATTTCTCTTCTTAAAATCCTAAAATTTCTCTTCACTCCTATGTAGCCATTCAGCCATCTACACGGGTCACCATTAGAATAAGTCCTCAGTCATGCTTGGGTCCATGACCAGAGCTTTGGTGAGCTGTACTGTGGAGAAGTTGCTATAGATTAGGCTAAATGGCTAGGTTAAGGAGTCTGCTCTCCAAGTCTGAATTTCGGTGAATTTTTGGTATAGCTTGAGCTGCCGGTTTTGGAAGAGAATTTTAGTTTAAACATAAGATTGGAGTGTTCTTGAAGGGGTTAGAGTTTATTGGTGAAGAGTTGTGCGGAAATTTTTAATAACTAGCTGATTGATTTATTTGTGCTGTAGAAGAAGGAGGTATGGTGACCTTATCTTATGATATAGTGAGGGATAGAGAAGTGAATTTAATGATTGCCTCTTTAATGTTTTCATGTGCTTAGAATCTTAACGATTCAAAACTTGTGGAAAAGTGAGTGAGGAAATAAAATATGATTTAGCTGCCAGACCTTCATCTGAAAATAAACAACTTAGGTAAGACATCCAATTTTTGCTGATTAAAACAAAAAGTGTTAAAATGGATGACAGTCATATTAAATATGATTATTTTTAGTATCTAAATTTATTACATAAAGCAACTGGACTATTTTGATTAAGTTTCGTCAGCAAGTCCTGATTTAGATAAAATAAGCATGTTCATATTTATGAATAATAATGATTTTGATAGCCCATGTTAATTTGAAAGAAAGCTAAAAACAATAAAAATTGAGAAAATAGCCATAAATGAAAAATTCAGGCTTCCCCAGCTCCTTACAACAACAATAATCTCATATATATATCTCCCCCAATCTCTCCTTCCATTCCAGGGCCAACTAACCCTCTTCACCAAAACACCCATCTCCTCATTTTTCTCTCCCTCTCCCCCTCTTCCCCTCTCTTCCCCTCTCACCCCTTCCTATCCCTACCCCTCCTAAATCCCCACCCAAATTCCTCCCCTCCCATTACCCCTCCTGCCCGTTCACCAGCCCAAAACCCTCCTAATTTCTATATAAAATTTAGGCTAAAATCTAAAAAATGGTGCATTTCTTAGACTTGGGGAGATATTTCTTCTGAGCAAGAAGGATCTGAATGGTGAAGGGGTGGGGATAGGGAGAGGATGGAGGTTAGGGAGATGGAGTAAGGGTTTTGGGGTGAGGAGAGGGAATTTGGGGTTTTGAGGGAGAGAGGGGGTTTTGAGGTGGAAAATTGGAAGGTGGAGAGTAAGAATCGTGGGTTTGGTTATGTTAGAGGCCAGTACTATCTCTCTTCCTCCCACCTCAAGTAACCCTCGCAAAGCCAAGACCTCAGCTCATTCTCCAAAAGAAGTCTGCCTACATTCCCTCCTTCTGTTCTAGATCTTAAGAATCTGTGAATGAAAGAAAACGAACTGAGAAGTGAGCCCTGAAGCATTTAAAGCTATAACTCGGTGAATGGTTTAGGTGGTAGGAGTTGAGACTTTGGGGAGCTGGAGGTATGCTTAGGGGCAGACTGGGAAAGAGGGAAATACTGTTTTTGCAGATTTTTATGGAAGTACTTTTGGATGAGGATTGGTTGATTTTGAAACAATTTAAGCCACTCAAATGGATGCTTTGGAGGAGAAATTCTAAGGGATGTTTAGGTGTTTTGGGGAGAGTTTGTGTAGAGTAGGATTTCATGTGGTCCTGGAAATATCCCGTAATTTTGAATAAAAGAGATAGTTTCTTTGGTTCATAATTTCTAGAAGCAAATACATCTTCTTCTTTTCAAGTAGCTTAGATATTTTAGGGGTTTTGGGGTTTTGGGGTTTTGGGGTTTTGGGG